TCAATATAAGATGTAAATGGGTTCAGTGCATTTTCAGTTTTATGCACTTTACTTCTACCGTGTTAGGTGCAAGTATGACTTTTACAATTTTAGAGATTATGCATATGGTTACAGGTGCCAAGTTGACAAAGGTGTTTTTTTTTTTGACAAAGGGTTTTTGTATCAACTTGACTGGGCTAGGATTCCCAGTGGTTTGGCAGTTGAGATGCATTTATTCCCATGGTGAAATCTAATACAGCACAGTTAACTCTACGATGACTGGCTATGAGCAGCCAATCAATTGAAAGGATGTTTCCTCAGGGGTATGGCCTACTCCCAATATTAATGGACATGCAGGAAAAGCTTGCTTTTTTCCCCTGGAGACCTATGATTTCTATAAATGTAAGCCATTTCCTTGATATTAACTTCTCTTTGTATATGGTGTTATTAAGTGCCCTCAAGTTGGTTCTGACTCATATCAAACCTGTTGTTCCAAGATTGTATATATATATCACTATTTACCCTTTAACCTTTGTATACTTCCTTGTGTTTTCACTTATCTTCATCATTCTTCTGCCAAATTCAACTTTTCTTGCATATTGCCCTCCCCATCACCTGAGTTAACATGTCTACCCTCTAGCCAGTGAATTACTCTCCCTTTTCTCACACTCCTGGTAGCCATCAAAGAATTCTTTTAGCATGAAAACCTTTTCTTGAGTTTTTACTATAGTGATTGCATACATATTTGTCCTTTTGTGATTGACTTATTTCACTCAGCTTAATGTCCTCCAGGTTAAGAGGTATTTCACAGATTCACCATTGATTCTTCAACATTGCATAGTATTCCATTATGTGTGTGTGTACCAAAGTTTATCTACCACCTTCCATTGATGGACATTTAGACTGTCTCCATCTTTTTAGTGCTGCAATGAACATCAGTGTGCATAATCTACTAATGTCCTGGCTCATATTTCTTATGGATGTATACCAAGTAGAGGGATTGCTGGTTCATACGGTACTTCTAGTTCCAACTTTCTGAGGAAGTATCCCGGTGTTCTCCACAGTGACTGGATCATTTTACGGTCCCACCAGCAATGTAGGAAGCTCTCAGTTTCTGGTGGAATGATTTAGAAAAGCACAGTGGTAATGGCCACACAACATGATGAATAAACTGAATGCTAGCTACTTAAGTATACATGTAAAAATTGCTGAATTGGGAATGTCTTATTATGTATATTGTACTCCAATATTTAGAAATGGGTAAAGCCTTAAAAAGTAAAGATCATTGTAATCAGTTGCCCTACATTAAAGTTTTGTTGTTGAGTGCCATTGAATTGTTTCCAACCCATAGCAACCCTGTATAGGCTTCCAAAAGCAGCTGGTAGGTTTGAACTGCCAACCTTGCAGTTAGCAGTCCAGTGCTTATCCTACCATGCCACACACAGTCATTTGAATAAGTCTTATATAGTCAGATCATAAGCCTGATCTGCCTGGGACAATCCTAGTTTATGCTCATTGTCCTGATGCTAGCAGTAAGTGGCCCCATCACTTTCCAAAAAAGTCCTGATAAACTATGGTTATTCTGTGTATAATCAATTGCAGAATAGTTATACTGAATATACTTTATAAATCTGATGTATAGTCTGGGACAAGGAAAACTGAAAAACACAGTTGCCATGTTCAATTATTTTAAATTTCAATTATTTAAATTTCCTTTCACAGAGAACCAAAGTTGTGAATGTATTGAGAAGAATCATATGT